TATATGAACCTTGGGGTATCATAAACAAGGGGAAAACCCTTGAGTAACCGAATGAATCTCGCTTTATCAAGAAAGACTTACCTCCATCGAAGTAGCACACGAAAACCATCTACTGATACACAGGCCCATTGTTCCCCATCAATCTTGTCACGCAAGTGTCTTGTTGAAAGGGACCACCACCCATTTTTATTTCAATTCCTTTCTATTTCAGCATCCTTAGTAACGCTATCACTTTCAGTAAAGCGAGAATTTCCTTACAAGTTCAATGCTGTCGCTCGTCTGATGGATGGGTTGGTCCACTCCCGGCTTCTGTGCACACATGCTATTACAGATCACGAGCACATATTTATGCATTTAAGTGCCGGCAGAAACTCAGAGCCTTCCCGATAACTCGCCAGGATGAAGTCACCTGTCGTAGTTGGATAAGTTACAGGATCAATACAGTCTTGTGATTAGAAAAATAATAGGTCTTCTTCGCAGAGATTACGTAGACCATAATTCATGCTGCAGTTGCCATGAAATTTACTATTCAAGAAATAATTTTAGGGTGGTTGGATGAGGGAAGAAGACAAAGGCGGGGCATGTAGCACGCATGGGAGAGATAAGAAATCCATACAGGAATTTGATTGGAAGGGAAGAAACGACTTGGGAGTTATAAGCGTGGATGGTTACTAAGATTAAAATGGATCTTAAAGATATAGGATGTATGAATCTGAAATGGATTTATGCGGCTCAGAATAGGTGTCAGTAGTGGGGTGTTGTGACGCAATGTGTATTTATGACGAGGCTGTTCTTAAACATGACTAAGTTGGAGTTACGAGTGGCTACCCTGACTGAAGTTTTCCGTGATTTTCCTTAGTTACAGCAAATATCTGTCTATAATTCAAAAGGGTCATGGTTCAGTTTACCCAGTCACGGAGGCCTTCGGCTAAAGTGATTCTCCCCCCCCTCCCCCAGGACAGTTCTATAGACCATCAGCCAGAGTGAAGATTCCAGTGTCAACTTTCAGCTTTAGCACACCCCCTGTTATAGTCAAATCGCCATTTTCTGTTAGAGATGGCTTATTCTAATAAGGGTCAATATCTCAGGCTCGTGAAGAATCTCCCATTAGCTTCCCGGCTGGTTGCCGATTGAGTTGTAACTACGACCCTTAAGAAGAAGAAGTATGTTTCTCCGAAACAATTTCATCTACTGACCAGTGGAATTAAATGTCGAGACATCGATCAGCAACTGCATAGCCGGAAGCTCACTTCGACTGTGAAGTGAAATCAAAGTGAAAGAGTAGTCTGTCTCAGAAAACAAGCAAAAATGCCTTCGCAAGGTTCTGCACGTGCCCTTTGTTGAGGATCCTTTTAAATATTCCCTGAAATCCATCCTTGCTTTACCGGAGCTTGTAAGTCGAAACCTTACTTATTTTTGCCCATCGGCAGATTGTAATTCTTCACGTGTACCTGGCACCTCTAAGATAAAAAAGGGCCTGTTACAATATTTTCTTACTATTCTCTCAATTTATAATTTTATCTATTAATTATTCTTTCGCATATTTCCATCCCATAGTTTCTTGTATATTAGTTCCTTTTACGATTTGACTATCTACTTATAATACTGATTAAGATACTTTTAAGTCTCAACTGCAAAGTTTGTTTGCAGAGTATACACAGATCATTAAATCAGATTTGTATGTGATTAAAATTACGAGTTGAATTGAACAGTTCTCACCACACAAGTTCAAGACCCGATGTTTGCAAATATGATCACAGTCAAGGCCTCGCGTAAACTTTTAGTTCATGTTAAGACGGACACTTACCTACGTCCTTTCGTTACTCCCTGTAATAATGTGGTACACGACTTAAATTTGTTTTTCTGTGATGAAAACAAACTACACTTCCGTTATGCTCATATTGCCTTAGGTGTGGGTAATATGATCATCGCTTACAAAATAGCTGTAGACATCATTTTACCTCAAGAAACGAGTTTGTAGCTTTCAAGTTGTAACTTAAACCCAACGATAGAAGACAAATTTTACGTCTTTTATTTTTTAAATCTCATATTGTACACTCCAGATATTATTATTCCTTTTTAAATCATAAATATTTTGCTACATATAATTGATCTTGATAGTAGTGACTCAAAATTATCTACAAAAATCCCCTATAAAAACTGCTCCTCTTACTTGTTACGGGGCACGCTGATATTAATTTTAAAATGCCGTGGAACTGATATGTAGCTTGAGGGACTGAACTTCAATCAACCACGAATTTGTAGTCAAAAATTCGTACGCGACATTAGCTAGGAAAAATACAGCACATATTCCACTGTAGCCATGACGGTTCATCTGAGCACACCAACAGCTTGAGCGCTCTCCATAAAATTCCACTAGATCACAGATACAAGTGAAGCAATGATCTACAGTGCTTATGTTTACCTAAATTCTCGTAGTATAGAACAGAAGGTAAAATATTTTCAAGATTATCGATCAGAGAGTCGAAGTTTCAAAGCAGGGTTCAGAATAAAACCCCTCTTCCTTCCGGACCGTGAAATCTAAAGCAGAAATAAAACGACTGGCGGAAACAGTGCGATGTTAAGATTGATACGCTCAGACACATCGTGAACAAAGTCAAAACGTAGTTGAGTCTACAGAGAAGTTGACTCTTAAGAAGGAAGCTAGAGAGCACGTCAGATCGTCGCTGTTTCGTGAATTAACCGGCAGGTGACAGGTGTTTAGGAAGCTAGTATAACAGTTGCGGTGCGAGTAACGTGTGGCGACAATAACTCTCGAAGGTAAAATCTTATAGTGTACTAGCGCAGGAAACAATAACGTAAAGCCCATCACCTTCTCCGTTATATGCAGAAAATACGTTAAACTTCGAGGACAAAGCAGCGATGCGAAGCGAAAGGTGATAATGTATGAAACAGTGTAACATTTAAAATGCAATGTAGCAACACTCACGTACCGCTGCACAAAAATGGAATCAGAAGCAGTTCTACCCACGCCGATGACGTCCGTGACTCTTGGGTCAAGGACACCGCTGCTGCTCACGCCAGTTGCAAATGCGGTGATTGTCTAATCACGAGCAGAAAATTACTTTGAATCGAAATCGCTTTTATCCTGTTCGTGAAGCATTAAACAATGCATATCCTGACAAGAAAGTTTAGAATGAATCGGCAGTACACCAATTGTTAACGCAATTTCGGAAAGAGCAACATTTTTGTCTGTAGCCTCAAATTACCGTAATACTGATTTAACGCGGTTTAATGGTTGCAAAAGTGGGTTACGGCTGCAGAATTCAATATTGCTGTAGGTTTCGTCGCGTTATGTGTGAGGGCGTTAATGTGTAGTGATAGCTCACAGAATAGAATTCATGAAGGGCTGTCTGCCTTTTTGTTGAACCTAATTGTTCATTACCTTGTTCATAATGATCGGCCACTGATCCTTGTCCTTAACCAAATAAATCCAGTGCAAATCCTAACATCCCATTTAGTTCCGTTGTAATATTATCCGATAGACGCTGTTAATACTCTTACGGTTTGCCCAAAGTGTCTATTGGGAAGAAATTAAATATCGCAGTTTTAGAATTAATTAAGAACGTAAGAAGATACACGTACATTTCCACACGTATTATAAAGATTCTTCTCCTCCCTTGGCTCTACAACCCAGTGTTGGTCTTCGCCGCCTCCTTTCGGAGGTTTCTTAGTCTTTGAAGCGTAGTTGTGAGTAGTGAGTGACAAACCCACTGCCTCTGCACAGTTTCTACTCAATCCTGGTTTTTTGTCTGCTAGAGCCACCTAGTAGTGAATCAAGAGAGACTTGGGTGAGAAATAACCGCTGAATTTTGCTTACGAAACACCTCGTTCATGCTCGTAACGTTCTTTTACATGCCGTAAATCTACGAAGGAAGTTGTGCTACGGAGTTTTATCACTCTTAAAAAATCCATCGAACTCGGCCGGGTTTGAAGATTACCAGGCGAAAATAATATCATTGCGATATACAATTATAGAAGAAAACTGTGATAAGAATAGATTTCTTGGAAGACCTATGTCTAAGTGAGAGAATAATAACAAAATTGCATATTTTTAAGTCAATGTGTGAATTTGTAGACTGGAATCGTATGGCACAGTATAGGGTTCAGTGGCATTTTTTTCCGAACAGGGAAATGACCTGGCATAACATTTCTTGACTAGTTGCTTCTCAATAACAACTCTGCTCCATTCAATTATTTTTTTATTTTGCATATTTTTTAGCAAAATAAAAGAAAAGTACAATGTTGGGCATATATAGATATCTATTTCCTGTCATTCAGTTTATTATAAAATTCACCTTATAAATACTTAAGGTAATTTAATACGTTTTACATTATGTGTTGTGCAGACTTCTGTCTTCTGGGTTGTTGCGCCGTGAAGGCAGCCATCTTCAGACTCAGCGCCGTGAAAACCTCAAATCCTACATTACGTATTATGTTCCCACAGTCTACACCGAAAGCCTACAGTTGATATTCCTTAGTAACTCTAAGTCCTTTGTCTCTGATAGATGGTAAGAGGCCTATAGAATATTTGTACTCATACGTTAGTGTCATCTAGGAAATCATACTCTGAGTGTAATTCTATAAACACCTACTTCATATATAATTTCTGAGGTTCTCACGGCGATGAATAACTATGAATATGGCGGTCTTTTGGTATACAGCACCATGTATTATTCGCCCTCATGATGAAGGCAGTAAGATTCTCTGAATCGTCGGACATAATCTACCCAAACTACGTAGAACTATATCAGAGAAGATAGCCGACGTTTCGGGCGAACATACTGATACTCCGGAACCTAATATCAGCCAGTATTTTCCTTAAAGACATCCTACAAGTCCGCACGGTGTCAAAACATAAAGCAGGCAACGTGAACTCTCACCACCTTGAAAACATTAAACATAATAAAGACAGGCAAATACTTTGTTAGTTAGTCCGTCAGAGCTCTTGTTCGCAGAAGAACGGCAGCTGAACTCCACACCCAACGTCGGCGAGGGTGCTCGACCCCCGGTTAGCAACTCCACAGTTTTCTGTTACTCTGCCGTCGGGCTGATTGGTTGTCCACACCGCATATCCTGTAGAGTTTAGCGGATCGTCTGTAACACAAGAAAATTTGGTAGCCGTCAACAAAATGCATGATTGGAGGCCACGGAAGGACTTCCCACCCCCACCCCCACCCCAGGACCATGTGATTTTGTCACCAGCACAGCGTCGCTAACGTTGCTAACCTGCGAGTTTTCTACATTAGGTTAATACGCTGTCTTCCTTCTTGTCCGGTCTGCAATCACGTTCTCTAATTCTGAAGCACACTCAGTTTTGTATTACGACCCTTCACGCAACTTCAATTTAATTTATTGTGTAGAATTTGAGGTTTTCACGGCGGTGAGTCTGAAGATGACTGTCTTCTGGGTTGTAGCGCCGTGTAGTATGGTAGTTTACCTCTCATCGACCTGATGATGGAGGTAGCAAGGACCTCTGAAACGTCGGTAAACTTCTACTAGACTACACGGTGAACACCCCAGAAGACAGCCACCATCTAATTTAGTGTGGATAAAATCAGTTACCTGTGAGAAAAAGAAGACTGCAGTTTGTATGGACCTATATTATAAATTATTTTAACTATGTACTCCGTTAAATTTCCGCTGTGTGTAAAAATTACTTAGCTGTTAGGTGGTCGTAATGAGGATTATATTTTTGTTACACAAAGCTTTCTGTGGGTTTAAATGGTTAGGAGGAATGGTACAAAATGAAATTTTATTTTCCGTGCAGAAATTATATTATGCCACATTAATAAAATGAATTTTTTTTCGCAATGTTTAATGAGACTCTCAGTTTAAAATTAATCGAGACTTTTTGTGGAATGGAAAGTGAAAGTCCCTATTACGACTTTACTACACGCTTTGTATCGAAAAAGGGCATAAAGAAGAAACTTACTGAAAATTGTGACGTACTCTCCTTCAACGTATTGATCATGAAAACCTATGTGTGCCCAATCATTCCTCCAGTCGTTAAATATTTTGGGGTGCGGCACCCAGAAATGTAACAACGCGTTGGCTTCCCTCTGAGAGTTGATAATGACAAGATGTGCGTCTTCCTGAACGCAGATTTCACGTGCCTCGGCCCATGTCTTGACTTCATTATGAAATTTGTATCCTCCCAAGCCGGGTATAAGCTCATAGCCCGGTGCTAACGTATTTCTAGAAGATATGTCCATGTGAGGCGTTCCTACAGTTAAAAGAAACAAGTATAATATAAATATTGTAGAATATTGCAGTAATCTTGGGCGATGATGAACCTAAGATGTTGGAGATCACAGTGGTAACCAAAATGATGGAATTTTCTCCTACGAAATGATGCCGTGTTCCTCTAAAACATTTCATAACAATTTAACACTTCAGTCTTTTACATTAAAACACTCAGCCTTCTGAGAGAAATTCAGAACTGATAAAGTGTAATGTAACATGAAATTAAGTAGAGAACAAACAGATGAAAATGAAGTAATTTTGTGGGTGATAGAAAACAAAATGTCGTTGTCAGCATATAATAATTAGAATAAATGAGCTTTCCAAAAACGTAATTCTAGATGGGGCAGGGAAACGCTGAAGGGGAAACCAAACACTCATCGGTTATTGAAATTTTAAATTTATTAAAAAAAGAGGCCGGAATATTTACCAATGACAATTTTTGAGAAAGGGGAATATTTATAAGAAAGTCCCAAGAATGTTAGAAAAAGAATATTAATAGTGGTTGCAACAAGGAGACATGTTGAAAGACATATTTGTAGTTAGAATAAGGACATACAGGGAAAGTCGAAAGTAGCTGCACGCCTTTGGAGAACTGTAACCGTGTTACCTGCAGCCAAAATGTGCTGATATCGGCAGATATCCGCAGAGCATAACCGCAAGTTTCGTTTGTTTGTTGTACTTCTTCACATTGCCGCTGCGAGCGCTTGTAAATTGTGAATTGTGGAAAACAAAATGGAGACTCATAGTGGCGAGGAAAGACCACAATGTGTGTTCTGGTTCGAAGAACTACAACAAACAAACGAAACTCGAAGTTACGCTCTACAGATATCTGCTGATATCAGCACATTTTGGCTGCAGGTAACACGGTTACAGTCCTCCAAAGCTGTGCAGCTACTTTCGACTTATCCTGTATTTTATGAGAGACGTATCTGTACCTCTAATTGTGACGATTATGACAACTGACTCCACGTTCCCACACTTTGCTGTGCTGTGGTCTACTTCTACCTCCCAAGGTCGAACTTCTTTGTTGCCAGCTTCATGCTCCAACTTTACCTGTGGACGAGAGTTAGGTAGTGATGCTAGTCAACAAAAATTATGTAGAATCAGGATCCCAATAGGAGTTATCTACGGTCGAATCCGAATCCAGGGGTTATGCTTATAGTAATAAAAAATATGATGGATATAATTAATATGAATCACTCATTAAAACGTAGTTATATTACTGTGACAATTTTAACACGACATATCTGTACACCAAAGTTCAAGCGATCTGTGATACTCATTTAAGAATAGAAAGAGAGAGTAAGAATTAGTAAAATGTATGGAAAAATGACACTATATCTCTGTTAAGACATAGGCTAGTTTAGGAATGCTTGAAAAATTTGAAAGTAGAATGAAGGAATACTTTGATGATGTACGTTCCGAGAGGTCATCCACTGTTGGGTGTTGGGGTTAAGGGTCAGATTGACTAGCTTGTTTAGTACAGCCGGAAAATTGATATTGATTGTGGGTCACCTAAAATGAGGACTCGACAGAAGGAAACAATACAAAAATTGATTGGATTCTAAAGGAAATTGAAATATTATAATGGCATCGGTAACATCCTGGACAACTAGAACAAACGCATTAAACTTTGGGTGATTAAAAAATGTGGGATATGGCTTAACTGCTTTCTTCAGTTACGAAATCTGAATCCTTAATAACATCTGTCGCATGTCACAGTGTTAGGCATAGGTTACTTTGAACACAAATTACTTAGCTTTCAGATTCCTTGTACAAGTAATCTTGTGTGATTTGTGCTGTACGGAATGATAGATGCCAACTGCAACTGCGTTTCTGCACACACAATGGATAAACAGTTCTACTTTAATACCAAGTTCTTTGCAGCTTTAAAAAGATTCTTTGAATGCGGTATCCTCACCTGAGCATTCCATTGGCCTGTTTTGTTTCTTTGGCTGTTTATGGAGAATCTGAAGGCAAGTGCTTGTGGAGAACACTGTAACTCAGTGGAGGCGGCGACACACCACAAAAGGACAATCGAAGATGCGACACGCCGATGCAACCACATTCTTCTTCGTACTTGAAATATAGAGGGTGTGTTAGTGAGAACAAGAATGAAAGGAGAAAGTAAATAATATATTTACGCTACTCACCAATTCTGAATATCCGTCGTTATTTCCTGCAGCACGGTGGATGAAGTGGAGTGCCGTGATCTGCGGCGTTCTTTATATCAGAAGGTAGGGCTAATGCGCCACTTACATTATCCGCTTATGGATCTTTATTTAAGATTACTTAGTATTTATTAGATATAATTTTCTCTGCAGTTGTGCCTGTAAGGACATGCGATAATGACAGATTTAAACATTGTTTTTGTATAGGTACCGCGAAAAATGCTGGCACATTTGCAAAGGACTGATTTTGGTCGTATGAGATGGACCCGTCCGAGCACGCGCTAGAGGGGTGTCAGCTTCAGTTGGTTTGTAGCTCTAGCTGTGTTTAGTTCGGTGCGTCTACGCAGCTGAGGCTGTGCGACCCCCACTACCACCGAACTCCCCTCTCTCGGCTTACACATCGCGCATTTAGGTGCCACGACTACTCGCGCGACCTCTAACAGGAAACATTCATGTGAGATTATATACATCTGGCTTACATTTCTGTTATTGCCTTTTTACACGTTGTAGATGCCTAATAAGACGACCTTGTTTGACAGTTGTGGAGTGGAGCTTCTTGTATAAGATCAGTTTTTATTACAGTAAATCCTCATGCAACACGGGTTTCCCGTCTTGGATTCGATTGAAAATTAATGCGGACAATTTTTTGCCTGACACCAAAACTTCGGTTATACGCAGTCTGTTTAAAAAGAGTGAAAAATGTTGAGGTTTTTCTGATGTGTTTGTGTAGCCAACTTGGTTTGTTTGCATCAGCTAGTGTAAGAATGTAAATATTTAGATCAACTGCCATCTCCCGATTTATTTTTCCCAAGTTTTTCTCCCCTTCTTCTTCCTCTTCTCAAACCTGCGTGTAGCCCGCGGTTTTAGCTTCGCTTACACTGTTCCGATGATATTTCATAATATGTTACAGTCCACAAATAAATATTTCTACAAAATATTAAAGATACTTTAATTATTCTTTGAATCTCCACGGCCGATTTCCAGCGAACTTTAGAGGTTCCTGTCTCCAGCGTTATATTAGGGTTAACCGATTCCACTTTCATGAAGAGTTATAATAAGCAACAATGGTTTCTTTTTCATGCAACACTCAACTTATATTTAATTTTAATATGTCAAATGTGCAACATAATTTCTGTTAGCAAAGAAAGTACAGAACAAGTACGTTTACGTTAAACATCAGGTGTTTTCACAACGGAGGAGGAATGTAGCTCATTACATAATGTGAAGGGATAACAATTAGTATCAACTGGGAGTCGAAGTGGTGACGTTTTCTCAGCAGGGCAGCGATGGCGAACGGTTAACCTGATTGTCACGAGCGGAACGCCGAAAAAATTGCTGACACGCAAACTTTCGTTTCAGACCAAAGCGAAATTAAATTACGTGTTGATATTTGTGTTTTAAAATGATGTGTATATCTGCGTATGCGGAATTGCACAAACGTATAAAATCGTAATTGAGGTCATCCAACTGTGTAATATACTATACTAACATCATAATGGCAACTTTCGTCAACATGGTTTTATTGTCTCTTAGTGGTTTTTATTTTCTCACTTAATCTTTTAGCCAGTTATGATTATCTTCAGGTATCACTTGAAAGGCTATTTTGAAGATTGCTGTCTTCTGCGTTGATGCGCCGTGTAGTCTGGTAGATAACACCAACGTTTCAAAGGTCCGTGCTGCCTAAATAATCGCCCTGATGATGGAGGCAGAATGGAACTCTGGAACGTTGGTGGACATCTACCAGACTACACGGCGCACCAACCCAGAAGACAGCAACCTTCAAACTCACCGCCGTGAAAATCTCAAATCCTAAAAAGGCTACTTTATTGAACCGCGTTATTTATCACATGTGGTGTCTTGTAAGGTTAAAATATGTAGACACAAGGATTTATCATGATAATCTTTACGTCTTTGATTAGGAGATAAGACATTAACACACAAAGGTAATTATTATTTTCCTACATGTACACAGTCATTGCGTCAAAGATTTAAGTACATTAAAACAAGAATTATTTGCAGAACAACTTTGTCACAGCCTTCAACAAATGTCACTCCATCCAGAATTAATTTCGTTGTGTAAATGTAAATAATTAACTTCGGCATTTCTCCCATCTACAAATCTCTTCAGGGTATGAATTTCATTTTCGAAAACGGGTGACTGTAAAAATAAGTCTAAGAATTAAACTATTCAAAATTTTGTTTTTAACAAGTTTTAAAAAACTGGTTTCTTCTCGGAGTTGTCCGTGTCGAACAAAATCGGTAAGTTTTTACGAGAGACCATGGCAGAAACTTTTGACCATGACGGCCATTAAATAAGTGACGGGTTGAAGATCATGTGACCAAATCAGAAAACGTACCCCATAAATACATTTATATATATACACGATTTTCCAGTACTATTATGGGTAGCCCTGAATATACAGTAAATGCATCGGAAATATGTAAAATTCAGTGGCACATAATTTCTATGGCGGTCGTTGGAAGGGGAAGTAGACTGCAATTGACAGATGTGGAAAGGAATAGCTTTACACGCTCTCTGTTCTGTTACCGTGGTTCATGAAACATCGTCTGTTAATCGACATTACGAAATTGAACACGAAAATATTTCGCTGAAAAGTGAGAGAATTATAATATGTTATATGACGTGCTTTGAGAACATCCAATTTAAAATCCCGTCTGTCATATAAATCGATGGAAATTCTTCGATTACAATTGTTTCATTCTTCGAGGTTGTTAAAAGTATTGCATGGCAAAATATTTAGTGATGATGAATTCCTAAAGCAGGTGTGGCTGTTATGTGCGCTGAAATTTTCAATACATCAAAAATAAGAGCAATATATTGCAATGCATAGGGTATCTGCCCAGCTGTCGACACAGAGTGAAGGGCATGTAATCAGAATGAATTAGTACTATATAGAGCAACTAGAATATAAATATTATTTTTTATTTACATCTTGAGTTCTTAAGCCCTGGAAGAAAACGTAACGAGGTGTGTGACGAATTCTTCAAATTTTCTGCGTCAGAAGGAACAATAATTTTTCTAGATGTTTACAGTGCTGTCGTTTTTGGGTGTATAAATACTCCTCTATTTCAGAAATAGTTTATGTTACTGTTATTGGGATTTCCAATATTACCTGCAAAGGAGCAGTGTTTGTAAAATTATTCACAAAATGTCGGTTGTCCCACTGTAACATCTCTGCAGTATTAATCAAGAAACACCGTGTGTTAAATATGGTGTCAATCATAAAACGTATAAATGAATTGGCTAATTGATTGACTTTATTACTTCACATGCCTTAAGCAGGAGAAAGTTTAGTTTGGTTCTGCAAAATACACTTGTTGAGCGAGTTACTTCTTGTATTTGCCGAGCTTCTGTTTTTGGGGGATGGAAAATTCATTCGCAGTATCTAGATACGCTATAGAGTGTTCTATAATATTCTTCGTTGATGAGGCAAAAGTCAAACTGCTAGGCTTAGGAAAGCCAGTTGATATTTTCAATACCATTCGATCCTTTACAAAGAATCCCAAATAATGAATGAACTAGAACGTAAGCAGTAAGAAATACTGAAAAAATACTACAGTTCAAGGTCAAAAAACAAAAACTTGGGGCATGTTGATAGCAACATTTTGTGCTCTGAAACAATTTACATATTCATTGTTAATAGTTGTCCGATCTACAAGGGTGGTTCAAGGTTGACGTGGGCTTTGTTTTAATTACACAAATCACATACATGTCACAATCATTAAACTGTCACTCCTTTCCAATATGTTGTCCCCTCTACATTGACACTTTTTGCCAACACCGCAGCAAGGCCTTCCTGCCAGCAAAAAAGATAGAAGTAGGCTAAATGCATTACCATCTGTCTAGAAAATCTGTCCTCCCAGATGCTTCTTAATTGGTCCAGACAAGCGATAACCACTTGGGGCTAAGTCCTAACTGTAAGGAGGGTGTTTCAAGAGCTCCCAGCCCAAGGCTGTATTTGTAAATTCGCGTATTTGTACGAGCGTTGTTATTCAGCGAGATGATGATTACAACTTAGAGTTCACTGGGCCCTTTCTTGCGAAGTTCCGTGTGTAGATTATTGAGGGTCACGTTGCTGCAATACTGAACATTAATTGTTGCACAATATAGCAGAAAATCGACATGAATTAACCCTTCTAGATTCCAAACGACATTTGTCATGATCTTGCCAACTGAAGGCTGTGTTTTAATTTTTTATTTGGTGGAATAATTTGTGGCGTCAATCCAAATTTGACCCACTGAATCTGAAGTGAAATAATGTACCGAAGTTCCGACAAAAATCACCGTTCGCTTCAGAAATGTGTTTCCCTCCAGTTCAACCCGGTTCAGATGGCAGACACTGAAAAACGTACCTTCTGGTCAAACGTCAGCATTTCTAGAATCACTGTGCACTTTCTTGTTAATAATTTTTCTCAAGCAAGTGTCTGTAAACTCTTAACACTTGCGTACAATGTGGATGCAATATCACGGATTTTAATTCTTCTTTTTTCCCAATTCGGAAAATTTGTTGCGCCAGTCATACTCACTTGAACGTTATAGGGTCTCTTGCTTATATTGCGAACTTACCTGCGGCGAATGTCACCTGGTTTTGCTTTCTTTTTCATCAGAAATCTGATGATATAGAGTAGTCTTACACCCCGAGTGACAGATTCCTAAGCCATTTTGTTTCGTTTCTAGTGCGAAGAAGAAAAGTGTATGTTTTCGTGTATGTGGAAGTGAGAGCAGTATTTCCGCCATGTTCCACGAAGCTGTTTCCGTTAACATAGTAATGCACAATGTCGGCCCGAACCTCAGCCGTAAATCTGTCTTGGAATGACAAGTGACGAGTAGCAAGTAGTCTGGTAGAATTTGAGTATTTCACAGCGGTGAGTATGAAGATTTCTGTCTTCTGGGTCGTTGCGCTGTGTAGTCTGGTCGATGTTAACCAACGTTTCAGAGATCATACTGCCTCCATCATCAGGGCGATGAGTATGAAGATTTCTGTCTTCTGGGTCGTTGCGCTGTGTAGTCTGGTCGATGTTTACCAACGTTTTAGACGTCATCG